CTAGTAATAGTATTGGTGAACAAGTTCCACTTCGCTGACTTTACTTCAACGCCGAGGCCATGCTCATACGCTCTTCAGAACAAAAAATATAATGACATCTGATGAACTGTAGCAAACGCATTCGCTTTTCTGCAATTCTTCTGAAGACGGGTTAGAAAGTTGACAGTTTCTGCTGTCACCCCACTAGATAAAATCCTGGTCTCATGACTAGAATTTGTGCACCCATATCAAACTTGTTGTCCCCTCACCGTTCTTGGGAAAGCCCAAGGGTTGCGCGTGCAGCCCCACACTGCTGAAACATTCGCTAACACCCAAATAATCTATTTTATGCACTAGAAACCTCACAAATAATGGCATCCTGGCGGGCTGATAATAAATATCTTCAGGTTCCACACGATGAAACAAAACGTACACAGTACTCGCCGTAAGAACTCGAAAATTCTCGAGAATACGGCGAACTCGCGTCTTTTTCGTCTTTTCTCCATAAATCGGTTCGGGTTGAATCCAGCTCGTCGAGCTCTATAGAATGATACCCTGAAGTGTTTAAAATGCTTTGTTTTGGATTGCGCCATGCACTTCAGTTCCACCCGAAATGTAATTGCATGTACATGGGGTGCACGCTTTAGTGCTTGTAGGGGCTGATTGGTCCTTGAAGATAATGTGCCTCCTTACAGGTTCCATTGAGAATTTGACATCAACTGTAGCAAAATAACGCAGTCGATTTTTTTGATACTTTCCAAATCTTGGAGAGATTTTTCTCCCAGATCTGAAGAGGTGGCATTGAGGCACTGTACTGGCATAGACAATTCTTTGTTCTCTGCAATGCTGTTATTGTGCACCTCATCATAGATCAAAATTTCTCCCTTGTTATGGTCCCAAACTTCGAACTTCGCTAGGCCCAAATAAAAAATAGTTTTATTCCTTGGCCTTTTTGCAGCCAAGTTGTACACAATTAGATTCCCCGTGAAAATGCTATCGAATGATAAGTGAGTCAACCCGTGATGAAATCCTCCCTTTTAACCGTTTTCTACCGTATACCTGGCGCGGAGCAATTTCCTGCTGGGCGTGTTTGGATGCGCATGTGGCCACGTACTGTAGTGGCGCGGAGCTTAAATGGCGGCTTTGAAAGACTGCTTCGCAGGCAGCGGGTTCCGTAGTGGCGGGAGCGGAGGGTGGTTTCGAGTAATGACTAGCTGAATGGGGAGCTTGACTCGCAGGTGGGTGGGTACTGTAGGGGCGAGAATGTGGGGCAGTTTGGATGGGAGTTTTGTGAGGGAATGGAAGAGAATGACTATGAAGGGAGGTTTTCATCACACGTTGGCCCATATATCATTAGATAGCACTTTTCTCGAAGAATCTAACAGTATAAAAACTAGTTGCAAAAAGCTCAACGGCAAAGGAAAAAACAATTGTGATTTGGGCGTGACGAAAAGCGAAGATTGGAGCCGTACCCAGGGAGAAATGTTGATCATTGATAAGGTGTACCATAACAGCCTCACAGAATACAAAGAGTAGTCTACGATAGTAGAGTGCTTTGCTGCCGCCTCTTCAGATTGCGGAGAAAAGTTTCTCCAAAATTTGGAAAATGTCAAAAATATCGACTCCGTTATTTTGCCGTAAATTAATGTCATTCTCTTAATGGAACCTGTAAGGAGGAGTGTTGAGTGCAGAGACCGTGAATGAAGTTATCTGCAGCGTCCACATTAGAAATGAACGGACAACCGCTTGCTTCTTCAGGCCGTCTCAAAACTCCCATCCAAACTGCTCCACATTCCCGCCACTACAGTACCCTGTCCACTGCAGATCTCACCCCCC